AGTATCTTCTCTGTATCTGCGGCACAGACTAAGCGCGCCTGAGCTCTGTCCTCACCTGTCCTGAGGCTTGCTGGAAATCTTCTCCAGTCTTTCACAAGGGCTTTTGTCTGCTGGCGGGGGATGCCTTCATTTCTGACGCCCTGCTGAAGCGGTGTTATTCTTTCCATTTGTCCTGTTGCTTGGTGCTGTGCACTCTGATCTGTTTTGTCAGACACGTGACCAAGGTTTCCGTCTGGTCCTGGGTGCAGTGGCTTAGCCCAGTCCCACGGAAACTGCTTTCCCTTTTTTAATAGCTCTTGCAGACACATCTGTCAATACGTCAGCCTCTACCTTTCTGTCCCCTGGACTTTCTAAGGGCTGGGGCCATGCATTACGTGGAATTATTTATGGATCTAATGTCAGTAACAGTCTGCTAATATCTGTGTCACTTTTCTGTAAGATTTTTTTGAAGTCATCTGGGGGCCAGGGCAATTGCTGGCAACCCGACAGACACTCCTCCTCCTTGCCTGGGGCCTCCCATTTTCTCAGCACCGGAGGAAGATTAGATGCATCCAGCAGTGCTGTACTCAGGAAGTTATCAATAAATTTATGATTAAAGACTGACACTTCTCAGCCATTGGTAAATAATACTGAGAAGCTGATGGCTGAGGTTCACATTTTCTGATATTACCAGGAGTGGCAAAGGCCGTCATAAGAAGAGCCATTTTATTTTGATAGAGCTGCAGAGCCATTACAGGCCCAGTCAGGTTGTAGACAGACAGTAAGGTCTGAATTCTTAGGGTCTGTCACCTAGGAAATCTTCAATATTTCCATGAGTTTTCACTGATTTGCACATCGGTGGATTCATCCAGCATCCTTTTATTCACTTATTTGTTTGGATGGTAATGATTTATGCAGTACCACGAGGCTATGAAAGATCTGCTGGCATAAGGAAGCGGAAGTGGAAGCAAATTCTTAATTTCAAGTTAGAGGTGACATTTATTATTTGTTTTTATAAGGGCTGGAAGGACAATGTTTTGTTTTCTGGTCAGTAAAACCTGAATCAATTAGAACTGCTTCTTGCCGTTTAGAGCTTAAAGCACGTGCTGTCTGTGGTGTCGTGTTTGAAGGGTTGGGTTTAGCCCATTTATTAGTTGCCTGGTGCCTCTGTGTCTGAAGATCTGAACGTGCTCCAACCTCCCTGCCCTTCCGGGCTGATGGTGTCCTTGTTAATGTCTCCCGAATCTCTAGCCCAAGGTCAGAGGATGCAGTAAATTCAGAATTGATTCGTTTGAGGTGCTAGCAGTCACCCGATAGCAAGCAAGAGAAACTTCTTTTCCATGCCCCATTGCCCTCTAGTGGCCAGTGAGGAACTTGCACAGCAAAGTGGACAATTCGGAGGGCCAGATAGGAACTGCTGAGGAAAACGGTTTGTTGTGATGGGCCGGCCTGTGCCTTATTTTCAAGAATCCCCAAAACTCTTCAGTGAAGATTGCTTTGGGGCTGCAAAGAGCAAAGGGTTTGTTCTCTCTTGGTAGCACCATCCCTGAGAGACAGATGGAGGGAGGGAGGGAAGAGAGGGCTGAAATAGGGTGGTAAATTCAGAGGTTGAAAAGAAATGGAAAAAAAGATGTTTTTGTTTTGCCGTAGAGTAAGGGAAGATGGGGAAGCGAAGTGCTCACTCATACTGAAAAAAGCAGTGGTAAAGTGCTTTGCTTTTGTGCTGGGAGCAAAACAAGGGTCCGGCATGTGGCTCCTGCATAGCAAAAAAAAGCAGTGGTAAAGTGCTTTGCTTTTGGGCTGGGAGCAAAACAAGGGTCCAGCACGTGGCTCCTGCATAGCAAGTGTCAGTGTCAGCTCGCTGGGGGCGATTGCACTGTGCCAAAATCCCTTCTGTATCTCACTGCGCACTGCCAGCAGGTGGGCTGGCTGCTCTGCTCCACCGTGTGCGTGGCAAATGACACCAAGCACGGGACCCTGACGCGGGAGCAAGGGTGCAGCTGGACCCGGAGCAGACTATGGCAATTTGGTGAAGAGTGTGAGACTACAGAGGGAAAAGCATCTGCCGATGCCCTAGCCCTCTGGGGCTACGCACCACAGGCTCTTGACAGTCGGAGTGCTGAGGCTGTGTTCCGTTTTCTTGGGTTCTTTTTCCTCTTGCAGTAGAAGCTTTTTAACAGTAGATGTCACGTTTGCATAACAGAGCAATAGATTCTACCTACGGACGAGCGATTTTGTGCAAGGCCTGCCTGGAACGACACAGGGCTCCGTCGCAGGGGATGCTGTCGCCTGTCCTCTGGGTGCCAGGGCCAAGAAAAGCCCTAAATCATGCACCGAAAAGCCCTAAATCATGAACCACTCTGGGTGCGTGCGCTTGCATATTTTTCTTCGGTTTCTACTGCGAGGCACTGCTGAAGGTGGAGGCTTGGTCGCAGCTCAGCACTCGCACTCTGCTTGGGTGCAGGTTTGCTTGCAGAAAGTGTTCAGATGTAGAGAGGTCTGAGCCTGTACGGGGCCGATGGTACCGGCTTTCTGCAGGGGAAAGCAAGCCCAGGCCCCTTGTCTTTGGAGTTGGATCTTTGCAAGGAAATTAAGAAAAAGCAAGTCTCTAGACTTTGGCTTTCTTCAAATCTCTCTATCCTTGGAAAATTCTGGAGTGCTCACAAAGTGGAAAAGGTTCGAAACCATGAAGAAATAGATTTTAAGGTGGCAGAAAAACTGTGATGTAGTATTTTGTCAGCCCTTATTATAAATTTAATTGAGCTTTACTGGCTAACTTGGCAGGGTTTGGCAATACCTGTGAATGATCTTTTTGGTCCAAACTAGGAGTTTCAGGGATTTGGAAACATTGTAAATGATCTTACTTTACACTGTTGTCATGTGTTCATGTGCAAATGACGCTCTTTAAAAAAAAAACAAGTATGGTACCTCTAGTTTAGACAGAATACTTTTAATATAGAAATCTTTGTAAATACATTAATTGCAGTTCATAAAAAATAAGTTCTGAATCTTTACACCATGGTCAAATACAGACAGATTAAAATCCATTTCTGACTCAAAGAAGCAATTAACCAAAGTGGAAGAAAGCTATGCTCTTCCAATAAAAACTATCCTAAAACAAGAAACCCGCCTCACTCTTCAAACTGAAGACTAATTTCAGCACATCTGTGTTTTGCAGAGCATACAGTACTTGATTGGCAACCTCAAAACAAGCCTAGCCCAAAAGAAAAAATTTTCGTTATATGCATTTCTGTATCGGAGGCGATGGGTCTGCGGCGTGCAGCTGCAGTAACGGCCACTGTAAATAACAAGGCTCTGCTTTTGAAAAGTCACTGTGCAGTTCACTGTCCGAACGCGATGATGTGGATCAGGATCTCGGCAGGTGCGAGCTGGTCCGCGAGCTGGAGCAGAAGGAGGTTGCAGGCCCTCTGAGGATCAGGCTCTTTTAGAAGTCCTGGTGGGCCCTGGCGAGAACGCGTGCAGGTGAAGGTTGATGTGCACAATGCTGGCCTGAGTCCTCCGGTCCCCTTTGGGTAGTTTGGCAGCCGTGGGGTCTTCTCTAGCAAAGCCACTACGCCCAAGGGCTGGAAACCACCTTCCTGAGCTGCAGCGTAATCGATTTGGATCTGTGTTCTGATTTTGGTCCTGGTCCAACCCCAAATCCAGTTCAAACTGGAACCTCTATAAAATCTTGGGTACTTTAGGTCCAGGGCAATTTTGTTTCTCGCTCTCTCTGTAATTTTTTCTTTTTCTTTTTTTTTTTTTTTTCCTGGTAAAATTTTTTTTCCTTGAAAAACACTTCTGTGCGCTTTAACTTCAAAACATTGATGCCAACCCCATGAATAGTCCAACAGTGCCAATGGTAACAATAGCATCAGTGCCAGCACCCTCACAGTATTATTAACATCAGTGCCAACAGCATCACGCAGATCTATGCCAGCAGGCCAATGGTGTCAACAACGCTGATGCCAACAGGCCAGAAGCAATGAAGAACCCCTCAGTAATAAACCAGCATGCAAAGCCTCACGCTACGGTGTTGTCCCACAATAACAAACCCCTGTGCCCAGCCCGGTTCTCATTAACAGCTTTACAATAACACACCCTGGTGCAAGGGCAATTAAACGAAAACACCAAGGTGTGTATACCCTGGAAGAGAGGAATATTCAGATGTTTCTGGAGCTGAGGGGCAAATGAAATAAACGATTAAGGATTTTGTTGACTGCGCTTTTCCAGTTTCTTCCGTCCAAGTGCAATGGTGGCAGCTGGAGCTCTTTTTCAACTGGCACAAGCCTGAGCTCTAGGAGCACTTGCAAGCAGCAAGTGGTTTGACTCTGGTGTGCTTTACGTTTGAGAGCATCTCCCGTTCTAGCTGCTCAACAGAGGAACCTTGTCTAACAGGTAATTCAAGGGTTAACTTGAGAATCTGACCCAAAAGCATCTTTTTAGAATCACTGCATTTCCAGTGTGTAATCTTACTATTCCTGGGCTAGTTCAGGCCTTGAGGACACAAACTTTTCTCCAAAGGGCAGGAAGGATTGTGCCTTTTCCAAAACTTGCAGCTTGCACATGGAGGAGGAGGAGGTCTGGTCTGTTGCTGCAGAGGGGGCTGGCACAGCTCCAGAAGTGTAGCAGTAAGTTGACAGTTTGCAAACCCCCCGTAGCCATACTTTCCCAGATCTCCTCGGGTCCGTACCCAGAACGGCAGTGCAGGTGCAGGGCATCCCAGCGCAGCCACGTCTTGCAGTGGTGGCCTAGGAGTTAGGATGCGCTAAGCAGCTTTCATAACTTACTCCCAGTCTACACCTCAGTGCAAGTAGCGATTCTGCTTCGTTTCCTTTTGAACAGTAGATTGATGTCATGACCAAAGAGTTCCTCTCTGTCTGAAAACCAATCTTTTTTTTTTTTATTAAGAGAACAGGAAGACTTTTCTTGGTTGCCTTTGCCAAAAGTGGAGGAATCAAGGGACAAACAAATTGTCCCTGAAAATATCGGGTATCTCTGTCAGCGCTGCTTCAGAAGCTTCATACTCTGGGATTTGCTGGTGGTTTTAAAGCCTACGTGGAAAAAAAAAGAGTCAAATCACAGTGTGCCTGGTGCAGCTCCAACGAATTGCATCCCAAAGGCATTGCTGTTCGCATCTGAACTCGGGTTACCTTTGGTGGAGGTGGAGGTTTGCCTTTGGGAACTGGGGGATGAGCAGGTTTCCTCTCTGGTGCCTATAACAAAAATGTGGTTTAAATGTTGTTAGGCTTTCTAGTCTGAGCAGCTGCGGACCCTCCGCAGACCTCAGCTGCTGCCACTGTTATCTCTTGTATTTACTACAGCCTGTTGCTGGGGGAAAAGCTGGGAGTGAGTTAGATTGATCTGTCCACATACAAGAAAGCACAATAATACAACTACACAAGGGGTATAGATTTGCTGTCTCAGAAGACCACTGAGCTATTCTCAGTGCTTAAATTCATCTGTGTCGAGTATCCATGCTCAAATAGATTGCTAAAGCTGATCGCATGCTCGAGGTGCCTGTTGAGGAAAGCATCTCAACAGACAGTGGGATTTAAATGTGTTTTTATAATCAAATTGATATGAAGAGGTCTATTTCTTTTGGTTTTGTTAGTCCTGATGATCACTCTTTATGCAGGAAATACCATGCAATTCTGTTGCGAGCGTGAGGGTGGTTTCTACACCTTTGTATCAGCTGGGCAGGGATCTCAAATGCTGAGATGGTAAATATTTGAGGGAGGCATTTTTGTTTAAGTAGGATGCTTTGGGTTCGTTAATGGTAAATATTCGTACTCTTCTGGATTCCGAATTTTTTTTTTAAGAATTCAAAAAAAAAAAAAAGTTGCACATTGGAGATCCCCTCGCGGGTGGCATCTGTAGAGACTACCAGGTCTCCACAACACAGGGCCCATTGCAGATGTCTGCAGTAGCAAAATGCTCATCGCTTGCCCTGTGTTTACACCTGAAATCCCTGTTGGTTTGGACTCCATGTACTGTTGCAAAGAAGGTGTGCTGGCGATGGCTTACAGGCCTCCTTGGCACAGCTGAAGATTATCTTGTGCAGTTTAGGATTGCAAGGCAAAGAGGATGACTCCTAATCTAAAGAACACGTGGTCCGAATGTCTGATTTTTTTTTTTTTTAATCGTAGTCAGAAACTGAAAACGCTAATTGGCATCTGATTTACAACTCGGATGAAAGATGTGAAAAGCTGCAGGGTTATACTTACAAAAATCTCTTTGTGAGAAGAGGCTGGTTTGGTAGAAGGCACAGGAGGTGGGGGACCCTTTGGCCTTATGGCAGGCTGTAAAAGAATGGAATATAAAACAGGCTGACCCTATACACCTACTGTGTGTGTATGGGTCTGCTTGTTTCTATGGGTACGTGCAGGCTTGCGCTCTGTATCGAAAGTGTATTAATAGGGGTTAAGGGACGCGTTCGTTTTGGCGGCGGGGATGCCTTCTGCTGTCTGGCCGTGAGAAAACATGCAGGGCCTTATCTGGAGCGTAGTGGTTTCCCCAGCCTTTGGGATCTGGTTGTCATTGCGGGATCTCCACCGTGGTGTGAACTGGGATGTGCTGCCTTCCCCAAAGCCAACAGGAAAGCAGAGAAGTTCTTTAGAAGTACTTACGCTCTGGAGCTGTGGTTTGTTCTCCTGCGGTGGAGGTACAGGAAGGAGAAGTTTCTTATCGTTCATCTGAAAACAGGGAACAGTTAAACTGGATGGAGCCCTTATCTCAGGTGTTACCTTTGCGTGCCCCTTTACTGCAGACAGATTACTCAGGGACTCAGTGCCATGTGCTTTCCCCACTCCCTACCCATGCTGGGATCCGCAGCAGTGTCCTCTCAGCCCCAGACAAGCCGTTTGAAACCCTCACGGAAGTGTAGCACGCTTCGGCTGCTGGGTTTTGGTGTTTCCACCCCTCGGTTACAGTCCCAGGGAGACTATAGCTGACCCGGTGCCTCCCAGCTCTTACCTTCTGGCCAGGTACCGCCAGGACAGGGTGTTCTCTGTGCCTTTGTTCTTGATCCACAAAGACTTGGTTTGTGGCTCCAGATCCCCTTCTGGTCTGGCAGCTAAGCAAATATTACATATAATTGTAAATCTTACCCTGACTGAAGTATAAAACCTTGCTAAAGTTGAACGCCTGCTGTACTCCTATTGGTGTGTTATGTAGCCATGTCCTTTTTTCTTTCCTTCTCCCTTTTATTATTATTATTTAGGATAAATCTTGAGAGTTACAGTTTCAAGTCTTCAGTCCTCTCCCAACTACGGGATTTCTGAAACAGCTCAAGAAATGTCATGGACCAACTTCCTTGGTTTCCAGTGTCTAATTCCCTCCCCCCCCTTTGAAAATTCCAGCTTAACACCTATCCAGAAGGTTCTTGGCTGTAAGTTTGTTTTTTTTTTTTTTCCTCAAAGGACGTAAGCGTTTTACCTCTTCTTGAATACTCGGAATCGGGTGAGTAACACTGCTGCAGCTGCTGTGACAGCGAGGACAACCAGCACACCAGCGACAATGGCGAAGCCTGTCAGGAAGAGAACACAAGCTTTATTTCTTAAAAGGCCAAATATTACTAAGCAATTTCCCATCATGACCATTGGCAAAGTAATTTTTTTTCACAGGGACTAGACCTTTTTTCTTCTCGCTATTGCTCAAGCTTATTGTTTCTTCTCCTGCCGCAAATGGTGATGGAAAGGAATGTATTCCTGCCATTTTTGCCCTATATGGACACTGTGGTTATTGCCTGAACCGTCCTTGGATAAAGCAAACCTTGCCCTTTCTATCCATCCTCAAAGCTCATTTCTTTGTCATTCCTCTCCTCTTTCTCAAAAGGTGTTACCCAAAACTGGGCACAGGCCTTTGGCGTTGTGAACAACTAAGGCTTCACAATCTTCCTTCTACAAAGCCATCAGAAAGTCTCGACTAACCCACAATGTTCAGAGCTGGCGGTGCTCTAGTGAGTGTGGAGAGAGGACAAAAGTATTTAATAACAAAGGCTTATAATTTTTTTCTCCCAAACACGTGGAAATTTGCACACAAAGTATTTCCACTCAGAGGTAGATCAGTTAAAGGCCAGCTCCCTGCAGATGATAGAGATGAACTTGCCTGCCCTCCCTCACAGCGAAATCTCTGGGAGCTTGCCTCCACTCAGATGTGACAGGGAGCTAATATGGTGCGCTCCTTATCACGGGATGGAGAAGGAAAAAGCCTGCTGCCTAAATAATCTCCTGGGTGTATCACTTCTGTCAGGTTCGAAAGAAAAATAGCTTGCTCTAGTCATTCATACAAGCTTCAACAACTTAAAGACAGGCAGAATTCAGAGCCCTAGGTATGCAGCGTTTGTGGAGAAACAGGCTGGCACCGGTGCAACTGGGGCTGTTTCAGTGGAGTTAAAACAGCTCATTACAGCCAGCGGATGCTGGTACCCAGTGCGTGACCACACAGTGCTTACTGGTAACTGCTGACGAGCTGTCGCAGGTTGGCGGTGCCCATCCTTCTTCACACTGGCACTGCAGCTCGTGGTCACACACCTAGGGAAGCACAAAGCCGGGAATACCTTCAGGTTGGAAACAGGAGTGAAGATGATCTCAGAAAATTTCAGTGGCTCTGGATCAGAGTCCTGATAAGTTTATTGCAGTCAGGTCTGGAAACTGCCTCTCACTTCACTTGGACTAAAACTTAGCACAGAGTGGCAGTTTTGCACAGTAAAGGGCAGGTCTGTCTGCCTGCTGTCAAGTGCCTTTTGCAGGTGTTGCTGCTAGCGTACAAGGCACAAAACAGCAGAGCTGGTCTTTGCAGCTGTAGGTCTCTGAATGTTCAAATAAGATGAGCACAACTCTCTTCCCAAAAGAGAAGATGACCTGGAAGAGAATAGCTGTGGTACCGTGGCTCAGAGGCAGGGCCGGACACAGAATCTGTGTCCATCTCTTGTGGTCTCCTTAGCAAAAATATTGATGCTGCATCAGGCTAGATGTGCTTTCATAAAAATATAGGGAGCTTCTGACTCCACAATTTTTGCGAATTCCTATCCCAATGACTGAAATACTGTCGCCAATAAGGTCTGTAGCTGATAAGCATAATTTTCTTGCGCTTTTTTTAAGTTAGTAGCATCAAATGCTCATATCTTACAGCATGTCCAGGACACTTGGCAGAGCAGTTAGTTGATCTAAAGATATCTTCAGCATACACACATTCTCCATTGCTGCACACCTGGAACATACAGGGCAAATGTTAACAAAGTGATTTATAGCTTTCAGAACATGCAGAGCTTGCACATTATTGTGCAAAGTGCAACAAAGCGTAGAGGATGAGAGATAAAGAGTAAAAGGAGGCATAGAAACAGGTCTACAAATCACTTCAACCTACATTAGGAGTTTGATACGTGGATATGATTTGTCGTTTGACCTTTGGGTATTTTATAGCAAAGGAGAGTGACAAAGATGTACAGACATCACTGTTTTCCAGTCCTCTTCAATCCTTCATCCTCCCTTCCCACCGCCAAGTAGAAATACTTAGCCAAGCAGTTGGACACAGCGCTCAGAGATGCCTAGCATATCCATGATGGAAAGAATTAAAAATAGGAATATATGTATGGTCTTTCAACCCTTCATACACAGGTATGTTTCTGCCGGCGCCTATATTTGTGTCAGCGAAAGATAACGAGACAGCAGTCAAGCATAAGGAAATCGGAACGCCGGCAGCTCCTGTTGGCTTTGCTACTGATCTGTGACAGGCGTAAGGCAGAAGGTGTGGCAAAGTAGATCACTTTGGTGTCCACTTCAGTCTTCCCTGTTTCAAAATCTTTCTTGTCTGGTATAAGAGCAAATGATACAGACAAGACTGAAAGAGGGGAAAAACTAAGGAGAGAAGCTTTTCTCTACTAACCATCCCATTCCCGCACTTTGTTCCGTCGAGGATCATCCCTGGGTCTACTTCTCCACTTCTAGGAAAACTTGCTTTGCAGGCCTCAAAAGTCACCAGGCTCCCGTCCTGAGGCATCTCGTTCCCCCCAGTACAGAACAACTTCCCACACATTAAGTCTCTGGAAGGAGAAAAGGAGCTGCTACAACACCAGCACAGCAAAGCTGTCAGAGCTGGTCTCTCCTCCAGCTTCTGTTTGTCGGGTCCATACAGAAGCTCAAAAGACTTCGCTGCAGAAAGGAATTTTGGCTTGTGGTATCTTCAGGTCAGTTTGCAAGTTCTGAATTCCTCTTGAGCTTATTGGGGAGCCCACAGTAATTTGCAGAAATTAGAAGTTCCCTATCCAAAAATCCCTTCCCTGTGCTTACCTGCACATGCCTGCGCACACGCGCAGTCCTCCTTGCAAGCAGGCTGGCACGTACATCTGTGCACACTTGCTCTTTCTCAGACTGATCTCAACATTCAGAAACTAGTTTCCTTAGGACTGTCTTTACCACAACGTTCAAACTGAGTAAGAAGTGACAAAGGGACACGTGTGCACGTGTAGCACACGTGTAGCAAGTAGCACGCTCCTTGCTTCTGCCTCTTATTTTGCATAGGAATGGTGTCTCTTCCCCCATCCCAGCGAATTCTGTAACACAGTGCTTACTTTTTTTTACACGGGACGTGACTACCTTGTTCTTTTCTGCAGTATCCATAATATACCCCTTTCCCGTTCATCCGGTAACAGGAAGCTGCACCTTCAGTAGCCTCTGTGGAGGAGGAAAACACAGTGGGGTTGGTTTAGGTTCTCTGCCTGTGAAAACTAATAACATTCGATTTCCTCTACCTATTTAGGAAATGGCCTTTCCCGGTGAGGTTGCCCATGGACCTAAATGACTCTGGCACTTCATGCATCAGTTCTGCAATGCTATTTTGTATGCGCAGCAGAACCTACCCTGTCTGTTCTCTTTCTGTCCAGTACAAACCTAGGGACCTTGCCCAGGAGAAGGGACATAGAACTGGAGATGGTTTAGGACTGTGAGGAAGATAATCCAACACATATCTTCAGAAACATAAAGACATGCTAAATTTGGATATTATTTTGAAATACAGACATTTCCTCTTCCTATCAAGCAAAGAATGCTCACCCAGCTCCATTCTAATGCTGTCTTGAAAGCATTGTGCAAAAGAGGAATACACTTACCACTTCCCATTTCTTTAGAAATACATTGTGCTGTATGCTCTGAGCTTCAGCTCAAGTGATTACAATAGTTTACAGGGTAAACATAAAAATAATATTAATTATTAAGAGTATACTATAAACTAGAACTCATTTCTATAGCTATTCTGTATCTAGCTAGCAAAGCCTCCCTGTCTCTCTCCCTCCTTTGACCTGGGTAACCTTGTTTTTCACTGCCAGCTGGTACTCACGTGGTCCAAACGCAGCTTTGCACTGGTTTTCTCGGGTGGGACAGTCTCCCATGTAGCAGTAGCCCTCGCCGTAGTTGCAGGGGTATCCGTTCACACGGAACCGATCCACTGGGCAGTTCGCAGACGAGCCGGTGCACATCTCGGCCAGGTCGCAGTCGTGCTTAACTGCTCGGCAAATAGCTCCCGATTTTTTATACTGCAGCGGGGGGAAAGGAACGGCACACTTAAAAGAGCGGGGTGTTAAAAATCACACTCAACTAGAGGGCTAAAATCAGGGGATAAAAATCTTGTCCTCACTGTACTGGGTGCACGAGGGGCCAGATCTTTATCTAAATTAAAGTTGAGTATGTCAATTGAGAAGATTTTTGCCTGGTGGTGCCTCAGCTTTTCTTTCCATGAGAAAATGAATAATCCAAATGCTCATATCTCTGGGATGTTGAAAGATTGAGTGAACTGATGGTTGTGGTGGAGATTGGGAAGGATAAAGTGCGCTTGTCATTCATTACAGTGCTATGTCAGTAATTGCAAGTAAAGAGGATTGATTATTTTGAAAGGCGTATTACTGCTTTCTCACGGGCAATAAAAAATATACACTAGGAAATACGAGAGATGAAAAGGAGCCTTACTTGGCAGTTCTCACAGCACTCTCCGTGTGCGCAGGCGGACCCCGCTGTCAGTTTGCACGTCTTGGCGTCGCAGCAGTCGTTCGCGCACTCCTGCGAGAGAGCGGGCAGTCAGAGCTCTGGCGCGTTGCTGCGGGGCTCGGTCCCCTTGGCACTGCCCGCTCAGCGAGCCGTCCCGCGCCTGGCTACGAGGGAGGGCAGGATGCCTCGGACCCGCGCTTTGCTTTGCTGAAAACCGTTTTCACTAGCAGCCGTGCCAGCCACCGTGAGTGATCACATAGAGAGTACAAAGGGTGTTGGAGTACGAAAGTGCTGATGGAAGCTGTGCAGGGAATTTGGTTATTTCTGCCGAGACAGTTTTGGCTGTATGGCTTTTCCCCTGTCTCAATTCCTCTGTCAACAAGGCATGACAAACCACGCAGTCGTCTTTCCCACTGTTTGGCATGCACTGTGTAGGGGTGACCGCATTGCAGATCAGCACTTTGGTGACCGCAGCTTCTACAGAAATACTTCCGCTAGCTTTAAACCAGCTACCTTGGGAACTAACAGAAACCAGCTACTGCACGGCCCAAATAAACCTCTTTGCCTCTTCTAAGTATCATTTTATTCCTGGTTATGCAGATACCTCAGGAGTACCACAGTCGCATTCCTCCTCTTCCTCCACAAAGCCATTTCCACAGGACGGAGGTGCTACGATGCTGCTGATCTCTGGGATGTTGGTCAAGCATTTTGGCATGTCGCTCAACATGTATTTCTCGAAACTTTGGAGGCTGCAAGAGCTGAATGTCTTGGGGATGATGGAACTATATTGAGAAAGCAGGAGGATTTCCGTTAGGATTGGCATAGGAAGGGAGAAGCAATACCCTTGACAAAAGAAGTTAAACAAGTGACCATCCCCCAAACTATTGGGTGGAACCATTTTTCCAAAATTTATATATATTAATAAATACAATGGCGCTCTCCTACTTATAGCAGGAAAAGAAAAAGTGGAAACAAACATAAATAGTTTCATGCGCTAAATGCCAACACTGCCTGTAATAAACCCCCATCCCACAGATTTAAGCCTGGTCTGCACAGCTGGTGCCTGGATGCTTCAGGCGTTGGGAGCTTTCCACTGAGCTGTCCAGTGGAGGCTCAGGGTGCGCAACCAGAGACAAAGACTGAACTAGATTCCTATCTACCAGGGGTTTCTTGAAGGTGCAAGCACGTTGTGTGGTTTTCACAGGAGACCTCTTCAGGGTAAAGAACAAAAATGCACATTAGGTAAATCTTGGGGAATCTCTGTCATCTGAGATGCCACAGCAGTTTTATGCTGCTGTCATTTCAAGGAAGAGATGATTTATGGTTTATTGTGAAATAATACCCAAAGCTGATGTTATTCAAAAGTGACTAAGGGTTTGGTTAGGTTTGGGTTCTTTATTTTTTGTGTGTGGGGGGTGTATGTCTGGGAATATCTTACAAGGGCCTGCAATTTCTTCATTTTTCTATTCTTTTTGTATAATTTTAATGGGGTAATCTCAGAGGACAAAAGTAACTACAGTTGCATTGTGGAAACTGGCAGCTGATCCAAAGCCCGTCCTTAACTGCCCTGTGCATGAGAGCCCTCGCCGTTTCGTCCAGGCTCCTACCTGACAGTATCTGTCATGATACAAACTTTAGCACTGCAGGTGCAGGCGTCGGTGTCGTGACTCATGCCAAGGTTGTGTCCCATCTCATGTGCCATGGTAGCTGCGACTGCAATTTCATTTCTGTTATGATCCTGTAGAGATAAGAGCAGGCTATTATTTCTGTGAGTGGTTTAGAACTAGTAGGAACATCAGAGACCACGTGGCTAAGAGAGAGGACAATTTTTCAAGTGAAATAAGGACCATTGTTCAATCCATGCATGCATCTCTCCCACAGTTCATGCAGGATTAGGTTACAATAGGAATGAGATGATACCACTAATGAACATAAGTAAATTGGTATAATTAGTTTTTAAATAAACATGAGGAAGTTAGGCTGCCAAGAAACGACAGAGTGTCACGGGGAACTGAACATCTGAAACTCTTAATCCTCTCTCTGGATAGCTGTCTCTGTGCTTAGGGTAATTACGTGGGTGCGATATAATTATTACTCATTACAGCAAGGTAACTATTGCGTGCCGTGTGCGTGTGCACAGAGAGGGAAGGCAGATGCTGTGCTCCATCTTTGCTCTTAGCTTGGTGTGTTGTGATGGGTGGGAGGAAAGGAGAAGTCCTGCTCTTTGAGTGAAATCTGGCTGTGTGAAGCGCAGGTGGTAGTGGAAACGCACAAAGCACGAGACGCAGTGGGCTGGTCGTACTCTTCCAGCACGGCACTGCAAACCATGTTGCTTCAAAATGCATCCCACCACCTTGAAAAGCATTCTGGTTTTACGTTCATCCTGGGATTTCCTAATGGTGGGGAAAAGCTGGAGTTTCATGCGGGTTATTCCTCTTACCAACAAGCCCGGCCTCTGAAGCTGGGTGCAGCAGCTGAGTTCCCGGTGCTGTTGGTAAAGTTTTGAATCTGTGTTCCTGTTTAGGCTGCAGTTTAAGTACAGTAGTTTAGGCAGCTGTAATTAAGTTGCTAAACTAATGATATGCGTTGTGACAGTCAGAACCAGTTCCCTGCTCAAAACAGGGAGCCTCAAGGTAGAGGCACAGAATCACTTATCTCTCTCCTTTGATTCTATTGGAGCCTGGTACTCCGAGTACAGGTGTCCCTGTTTGATGTTGGCATTTAGATAACATGAGTACCACGTTTTTAGCCTCTGCACTTCATTTAAAGTCTCTGTGAATTTCTATAGTTTAATAAAATACCGATATGAACCAGAGACCTAGAAGTGTTGTATACCAAGTAATTTTCATAAATGTTCTTTACTGGTTGAGTAAAAAACATAGAAAAGCCTTTAAAAAAGTAAAATAAACAAAAGTAAATCAGACCTGAATAATACCTGCAGAATATATATCACTGCATATGGATTTTAGAAAGGCTAATCCAATCGTTGTCCCCTCAAAGTCATAGCCTCTGGAAGGAAGAAGAAAGGCAGAGTGAAATGCAGTGAAGAGGCCGGGAAGCAGATCTGAAGCCAAGACTGTGTTATTAACCAGGCTCAAGGCGTTAGGAATATATTCATTGTCAGCTCTGGTTTGCATCCCTGATTTAATACAATATTTGAGGACATGCTAAGATCACCGCAAATCAGAAAACAATTGAATACACTTTTCATTTTAAATTTTTACTTAAATTACACTGTAGTTCATCAGACTTAGAGCATCTGTTTGAATGTAAAAGCGCTTGATGAAGTGCTTTAAATGTAGCAAAGTGCTTGGATGAATCAGGGCCGTTGAACCTGAGCCAGGATAGTGAAGTGAGTGCTGGTTTAGTTTGGCAAAGCGCGCTTCCCTGCCATTAAACTTCAGGTCGTGGCTCCTTAGGACGGCAGACTACGCTGCAGTCTTCAGGACACTCCACTGTTCTGTGACCAGAGCATTGAAAAGCAGAGACTGGGATGTAGCAAAAAATCCGTATTGCCTGTTTTTGCAGGGATTTAGATAGAAAGATGAGATACTATGTCCTAGCAGGTGATGGTGCTCCACGAATAAAATAAAAGCAAGGAAAGAGAGCCTGCATCTATCTTTTTGTCTTAGAATTAGTGCAGTTCAGTGTTGGAAAACACAAAATCTGGTTCAGTAGAGAGAGCATCTCTGATGGCTTGGTGACCAATTTTTAGAGAATATATTTCTTTAACGTACTTGGAAATGCAAATGGGAAGCAGACTGCTACGCACGTGATTAGCTGAGCGTTGTCGTTTCTTTTCCTTGTTAGTAGATCTGATAGACGCCACTTGGAGAAACTGTCCAGAGTGAATCCTGCAGCACGGCTCAGCAGGCATTTATCACCATCTGTCCAGACTTCCAGGCCAATTAAAGCCACGTAGATATTTATGGCCTTATAAACCTGCAGCAGAGAAGCAGTGTTGCTGTAAAAATGAAGTGACGAAGACTTCTGAAACAAATCCTTATCCCGGGAGTTTGTTCACTTTTGCCACTTGCAGTGTAGTCCACTCCAGACCCTGATTTCAGCTTTTCTGCACTTTGAAGTTGCAGTGAAAAACCAAATAAAACATAAGATCGTATTCCCCTCCTCCCATTTAAACCTTTAAAATACTTGTAAATTCCAGCCATATTTTTGAAGAAATTTGACTTGCAAAGGGAATCAAGAATCACTTCATTCTTTTCGAAGGATTTAGATCATTCACTTTAACAAGTGAAAATAAGGTATAAATCTTTCTTGACAGAAATCTCATATTAGAAGGCATAGAACATGATAATCTGGACAGATGTATCAAATTTGTTTCATAAATGACAATGAAGTTTAGTTTTCATTCTTTCCTACATGTAATAATGAAATGTCATGCTGTTTGCAAATGAAAACAGTGACAAATCACTGCTATTTTAATTGCACATTGCTGTCTTTATCCTTACCGTATTGATGTAATTGACTATTCCAAATATCCTTTGTCTTACAGTTGTAACATCTTCTTCATACTTCTTGTACTAAAAAGGTAAATATAGCATGTCAGGAAAATGAGATGAAAAAAGGGATTTACCAGAAAAGAAATATCCCCCAGAAAAGCACATTGCGAACCACACCGTGGTCTGCTTCTTATTATCTTTTCCATGTACTATTTTATCAGAGAATGTATTTCAAGGTCAGGCCCTTTCAAAACGTGTATCGATGCGTAGGGTGCAGAAGAGGACAGGTGCTGCGCTGTATTTTCTGAATTCTCGTCATCTCCAGGTGGGATTATCAAAAGAATCGGTATTAGGAAATCCTCTTGCTAGCCCAAGTCAGTGGTAAGACGTAGTGGAGCGCTGCGATCGCAGTAGGAGGCCGGGGATATTTGTAAAGCTCACCTGTAGCTGGCAAAGTGAGAAAACATCTTTCCAGTACTCACCAGAGTATTGTCTGCAACGATGTAAACTTCCAGATACTTTTTTGCTTTCAGGTATGCTTTCATCTAAAGAAAAGATACATTTACATCACTTCTGAGCCCTGTTTCAGTCTCAGCCTTTGCAATTTCAAAGCCATTTGTTAGTTACGAGGGTGTTTCTTTAGCCAAGTCGTTTAGAATGGGACTGCCTTGTTTTAAAACGATGAAAGGTAGGCTAGATATGAAAATGATTATTCAGATTATGAAAGCTAGGCTAGGTGTTAAGAAGTATGGGATGCTTAAAGATGCACACAGGCACCTATTGGTACATGCAGGAGGGCTTAACTCAGGTGGTGACTCTGAAATCTCAGCTCTGTGAGATATTGTGCTGGTTCTGTAAGATCTAATTATGCTTCCCTGTTTGTGATCGCTTCTTTCCTGGAGGTGCCACCAGACAAAGCGGGACTGGTGCTACTCAGGGTTCTCCCACCGCCGCAAGTTCTTTTCTGACATGTAGTTAGTGAGCAGCTGTTTAAGCGTGCACTTACTTCTGGATTGTTGCTGGATTTGAAGATGTCATTGATGGGGTCCACTGAATCCGCTTCCCAGGTGTTGTTGATTAGGCCACAGGTTTTTATGGACTTTTGCTCGAGTTTCTCATACTTATAGACAGCATGTTCGTCTCTGTCTGAGGTTCCCAAGGGTTCAATGAGGTACTTCTGACCACGGGTCTCAAAATACCCACTAAGAAAATGAGTTAGATGGTGATCTTTTGAATCCGCAGGACTGAGTCAAGATAACAGCATTCTCTCGAGCAGCATTCAGCCCAAGCATACAGCCCATTGCACACGCTGATGCAATGGAATAGTTTGGCAACAAGCGTACGACAGTTTAAAAGCAGAAATCCAAGCTGCTGGGACAATTGGAAGATCTGGCTGGTCAGCAAAGTCTCTGGGTGGGAGAATGTCAGTGTGAAAGAAACTGGTTTAGGAATGACTTAGATTTAAATTTCGGCGTATTTTTGCTAACAGAAGTGACTGAAAAGTGAATTTCAGTTCAGTGCGGAATTCAAAGATATGTTTTCATCTTTAATTGAGATGAAAAGCTGAAATATTGAAAGGAATGAAGAGTTTTGAATAATTTTGAGCAGCAAATGTCAAAAGAAGTGTTCTGTGTTAACATGTAAACTCCACAAGATATGCAAGAGTTCACAAAGAAAGTCTGGGTTTTGGCCCAATGCCACTATCCATTGGGAAAATGTTCTGCTGCAGCTTCTCAGACCCCACAGCCATCCTCTGGCCTTTTTGTTTTATACCGCTGTCTTCAGTGATTAGAAATGAGCAGGTTCTTTTAATTGAGCTTTTCATACAAATTCTTGAACTTCCTGACCCTCTAACGGCTGTAGCACTGAAAATAGTGCAGCCTTCTCTCGAAGTGTCAGCGGAGCTTCCTACAGCTTAGAAGCAGCGACCCATAATGTTTGCTGTAAGCACCACCAGATGCTATGATTTATGACAGGATCTAATATGGAATTAGTCATGTAAACTTATTGATATAGGTGTTTCTTCAGCTTCCAATTTATGAACTCCAAAAGGGAAGTAGAAAGGTAACTTTTTTCTCCTTTCTGTCCCTTATATTCTGTAAACTAGTTTCCTTGTAAGCATGAATGAAAGATTACACTGCTTATGTACATTCTGGCTCTTCTTATATTGGAAAATTTATCCTCACAGAGTGCGTGTATTCTGCCATTGGTACCCTCTGGGAACCAAACCTCCCTCTTACCTTAGACCTTTGCAAGCACTGATGCTCGCTCTGGAATCAGCATCATTCTGAATGTAACCTTCATAATAACAGTGATCCTGTTCAGAAAGAAAAAATACATTGTCAAATTGGGCCATGTCTCAGTGACTGCAATGAACTGGTCTAGATCCAGTGATTTCAGAAGGCAAACTACACTAGCTACAGCTACAACAAACTCCACTGTCTGAGGAAATCTCCTGTTAGAGGAGATTCTTAAAATGCAAAAAGCTGGTGACCGTATCCATGTTCGCTATGGTAGTGTTGTTATCCTTCAGCACAGAGTGACAAACCCAATCATGGTGGGCTCTGCTCAGTACAGACCAGTACATGAAAATAAGAATATGCATATTCACTGCTCAAATTTAAACGTATACTTGATGTGCTTTGCTGAATTAAGGTCCATACCGAATGGTTTTATTGTGGCCAGATTTCAAGGAAACACCCTTTAAAGCTAACCCAACAATTACATGCATTAACTTCAATGAGATTAAAATGCATGCATTATATTAAAACATATGATTAGGGGAAAAATTTTCATGACTTAATTGACTTAAGGATCTAAGGTCTAATGAACACTTCTGTGTTCAAAGAGACTTCAAAGTCACTGAGGTACTGTGGAAAATTTTACCAGTAGCATTTTCCTTAGCAGATTTCTTCAGAGAGACCTGTAACACAGTGGGCAAACCTGCACGCGTTGCGACTTTTGTTTTCTCAGAGATGTTTGGTTTCGCTTTACCATATATTTGCCATCCTTCCATCACAAGGTGCCAGCTTTCTTACAGTGAATAAGGCACCAACAAAGTGAATATTACTAGAGAAGGAAGTGGAGCAATACTCTCCCTCTTCTGAGGATACAAGAGCAGCAACTCCATAGATCGCAGTAAAGTATCCGCAGCGTAGGAATTCCTTGCTCAGCAAGCAGCACAGGTAGGCCTGTTTGAGGTCACCTTTACCAGGGATAGGTGCTGTTTGCTTTTCACAGGATCCGCTAACAGAGTGAAAGTAATTGGAGCAATCAGAAATAGCATCTCTTTCCACAAAAAATGTCCAACCCAGAATTGTTTATGCTCATTTATTTCACTCAAGATCCTCCTGTTCCTGCTAATCACTCCATGACAAATAATATTAGGCTTTGTATTCCAAATTAGATGTGTTAAAACACATAACATGACATTGGACAAAAACCTTCAGGTGAGAGCTTTGTTGAGGATAAGACCCATTTGTGCGCAGTTAATTAAAAAAATAACTTCTGTAGTGACTTGCTTTGTGTCTGGATGTGAATAACTGATTTGTCATGGCTCTGAGAAACCACCCGGGGCAACCTGCAGTGCGTTTGCTGTGAGCGTGGGTGGTAATGTGAGCCAGCGAGGAAATGTCTTTATCAGAATCTATGATCTCACGGAGATTAGGGTGTAAAAGCGAGTCCCGGAGTGGTGCAGAGTGAGCAAAGTCAGGAGGGCAAAGTCAGGAGGTAGGAGGCAGTGAAATGGCCCTGGCTCCACTCCCTTTCCTGCCAAAACAGAGAAATTCAGCTCAGGTAATGAGTTCATCAGCCACTAAGCAGATAAGTGGTTGTCTTTTTGAAAGAAAGCTGGCTGATTCTCAACAGGGGTAAGTCAGTGCAGCTCTGCCAAAATCACGAGTCACATCATCCCTGTCCCTTGAGAGGCATCCTAAATTACAGTGCATAGAACCTTGATTTAAAATCTTTTTTTTCCATCTGGTATGTTATTATTTCATGGACCCGTGAATCTCATACAGACTTCCTCAAGGCTGTAAGTAGGAGGGAGGGAAGACTTTTTTTATTACCTTGATCTGAGGACTTGTTGTTATTCGTCGACCGTCACCAGAATACACTGTTTCAGTATAATCTCTGGCTAACAGATGCCTGCAAAGAGTCAAGTGCAGTTATTATTCAAAATATATTGTAGTCATCTAAAAATGAGGCAATTGCATAACACGCAAAGTATGTAGGGAGTTCGAATGATTACTCAGGTTATTATTAGTATCGAAAAACTAGGGAAGCAAAGCTGCTGGGTGGGGAATTCTGCATTTTCGCAATCCTTACTCAAACAAAACATCCTTACTCAATTTCCAAAATAAGAAAGCAATTAAAGTCTACTTATTTCTTTGCTATAAACTAGTCTCCTAGCAGATCTGAAAGTAAATGTATAATTACATATGTAGTATTGATCCTTTGCTGGCCTCCAGTTTGTGTAGACGCTTCCACCACCCCACAGTGTCTGCGAACTGGTGCCACTCTGGTCTCTTCCCAGTCCACATGTGCCCGTGCATACACGCGTGTGCACCTGTGCACACACTCAGAGATTCTCTGCAGAGAGCACGCTAACACACATATGTCCAATTCTTTTGCTCATAGCTTTTTTAGAACTTAGTTCTCATCTTTGTAATCGTTCTGTCTGAACTTGGTTTTTTCTTTTCTGCCTACATAAAGCTCTATTTTTGCACACATGCGTGCTCCTGAGCCTTCACAGGAGGGCATCGTGACTATGCGATAAATTCCTATATTCCTGCCACCACTGGGAAAGGTGCCTTTGGGCTTCTTGTTAGCACAGACACTTGCGATTTGCTGCGGAAGGCCAGATCCTGCAAGGTTCTCCGCACTCGGGCTCCTACGCAGCAGAGCACTAAGCAGATGCTTAACTTTGAGCCAGGGCTGTCATCTTCTTAAAGCCAGCAGCAAAGCAAGTCTGCATTCACTGCTGTTGGCGCAAGTACCCCAAACAGTCACAATCCCATTCCTTTTTAAATAAAGAGCGGGATTTAGTAAGTATGATTTCCCTTCCCCACAAATATTTAGATTAGATTAAAACAGGGGCAAAAAGTTAATTATAGTCTCTATTTGACATGAACTGATTGTAGTACTATTGTATTTACACAGCCATTACAAAAGTACCTATTAAAGCAGACTTGTTTGATCCCATGTTAAATACTATGGTGGAGCCAGCAAGCAGAAAATCACAAATGAACTTTTATTTTATGTTGCCCTGTACAGTTTTGGACTTTTCTTTGTGTGCTTTGCTCTGTGACAAGGCTGCTGCTTCTCTATGCCCTCTGCGCTGCCTGTGGAAGTGCTGTTAATCTCTTCAGCCAAGGAGGTGAGCCCTCCTTGCCTGGGATTTCCGTAAAGCATTTTGTCATCACCTGTATATATTAGACTACTCAAAGTCCAACAGCAGTAGTGTTACGGTAGGGAGTGCTGGGAGCCAAATTATGAAGGATTATTGCATTTCTTATGACTATTTTCCATTTTTGAAAAGCATACAGAGCCAAGACAGATAGCCTCACTTCATGGATATTTCACTTGTTCTTCTCTGTAGTTTCTACTGGCGTAGAACAGGTAAATAGAACCCATAGACTATCCACGGACACAGAAATATTGTGAAATAGTACAAAACCGTTAAACGTGCAGTGGATTTAGCCATTTGGGGAATAGAGTAAGTGGTATAGGCAAGGCATTGCACCGTGGTAGTGTCATAAGCCTGCGTGGTTCTTTCACATTACCGAGCAGCGACATGATGCTTTCTCTCTCCTCTGCTTTCGTCCGAGTTGAAAGGTTGTGTTTACCAAAACACCTCTGTCTTACAGGAGCCTAAGCCCTGTTTCTTTGTATCCTGAATGCCCTACAGAGCCATTTACAGTGAGGAATAATGCTCAAGCAAGAAGCTGAACTGAACGTACTTATTTTTTTGTAGGTGCAGTATGACTTCCTCTCCGTTGGCTTTGATTCCGTACTCCACCGTGTCATCGTATTTTGTCTGTAAACAGATTTAAGTGTTAGAATGCGGACTGCTACAATTTCTGCCCTCACTGTGAGCTGGCTGTTCCTGAGTTGCCAGCTGCATTCTTTTCTTTCTCTTCTCACCAAGAATAAGTATTCTGGCAGCTACAGAATAAACAGGAGGTCACTCTGTTTTGGAATTTTTAATTAGAAGAACAAATTTAACTTTACTTTGTATTTATTTTGTATTTCTACAATCATAAGCACATACCCTGCATATTCAGGAAAGTGCTGAAGCAAATGCCTAAATTAAAACATTTTCCTAACTCTCTTGAAGTATGTAAGAGCATGCTTAGTTTTAAGCATTTGATTTAATATACTTTGAATTAAAATGTCTATAGGTTATTCTAAATCTGAGTAGTATCAAACCCTGCATCTCTCCAGAGACACAAGCAGAGAAGACCCACTGATGGCATCCAGGTCCTTCACTGCACGCTGAGCCCAGCTCACAGCCCGTCTTCACCAGATGTGGGATCACTCTGACAGGTTTTCTCTTTTGTTTCATTTTGCAAGATTAAGTGTCTGGCTCCAAATTCTCTTAGCCTTGAACACCAAGCGTACTCTGCCTCAGAAAACCTTCCCCATCTCCCAGGACAAAAAGAAAAAAAGTTATCACTTTTAATACCTCTGTGTTTCTTTCTACATCTCTTTTATGGACTGTGTGCAATTTCTGTGGATAAACTATTTCATACTGCTCAACTCCAGGTAATTTCTTGCTCGTGCTCCCTACGGAGAAACAGATATATATTTATGAAAACACAGTATTAACTTATTAAACACCATATTTCATGTCTGTCAAGACTGATTCTCTTGGGCTGTGTCGTCATTCATCTGTTGCACCACTCGTTTCTCATGTGTTCTCCGCAGTGGCTCTGGCGTGGGCTCGTCTGGTCTAAGCACTCACCCCCATAACGTGACCTAACCCGAGGCTTGTTACAGTCTGGATTTCAGAGGAGTTGACATACCTGGCGATTTCCAGGTGTCAAAATATTTTGTGCAATTCGCTTTGGATTTCTTTCCCCAGCACCAACTGGCAGTTTCGAGTACCAGCATGCCAGAGCAGCTCTGCAAGGTGCAACCTTTGCCTTCCCATTTTGCAGACAACGTGAATCCAGTTACATGGCTCTGTGCAGTCAGTGATCTCCAGACTTTACCACGTGATGAAGTGCAAGTTAAGGCTGCCTCTAGATAAGCAAATAAGCTCCTACAGTTCAGCACAAGTCTGGACCGAGCCTAGATATCTCCTTTTGAAAGCTTTTCAGCTGGTCTTCTCGCATAAACGCTCGTGACAGCACTTCAGCAGATACGCTCTCACCTGTGGAGTCAGGCTGGGGCTGGCTGCATGCGGTGACAGCAGCAGGGCTGGGGAAGGCATTGGAACCAGGCCAGGTAAAAGAATAGGAGGTAGGCAGTGAAGTAGGAAAATCCTGATGGAGGTAAGGAATCCAGGTGATTCCTTCATCCGCATAAATCCTTTTTCCTGGTCTTACTTGTGTGGTGTGTCGCGTGTCTGCAGTGGCTATAAAGAACTTTTTGAGGAAACACAGTGCTGATGAAGAGTGTTTCTTTTTGCTTTCTGTTTCTGAGCCGGAGTGAATCTTGACAAGAGCTAATCTGTGGCATGACTCGCAGGGGTGGTCAGCACACGTTGCACCACTTGCAGATATCAGCTGGTGGACAGCATTGGGGAAAACAGGGTGGCACGAGGGATGTGTTAGCTCCCCACAAGGCAAGCACAGGTTTTATATGTCTCCAAAGCTCTTTAATCTCCTACAAAAGGTCAGTTCACCTGAATGGGCAAATTCTTGAGGACTCAGCACAAGAGCCTGTATTTTGAAAAAAAAGAAACCAACCCACAAACAACAAAGGGAGAGCGCAACTCCCATTTTAATTGCCTGCCTCAAGGCCTGATTTTCACAGGAGTGGGGCGTCCCATTACTGTAATTTTCTGTATCTGGAACAACAGAGCACAGCCTCGTGCAAATTGTTCCAGTAAAATAAACAGATTAATTCTTGCTAACAGGTTTATTTGATTAAACCCTTTTCAAGAATAATTGCAGAATAAACTTGGTTGTATCTTGATAAAGGTGAGTGCTGTAGAGAAAGGCAAGATGGTGTAATGGCAATAAGTGCTAAGAAGTTACCTTTCACCACCTGAGCTGTTACACAGTGCACAATAACTACCCATGCACGTGCTGTTAGTAAATACCAAGTACAAGCTTGTTACTGTAATTTAAATGCTGTTTTGTCTTTTATTTTAAGCAACTAATTATGTTTACTTGTAAAAAATCTTTTGCCTTGTAGACTTAGTCTTTCCATGAGCTTCAAGTACGTTCTTGCGTAATGATCACAGCAAGATTTTAGGCCTCTCAAGACAGAATTTTATGCTTCTGTTTTATCTATCCATTCCCTGTTGCAGACTCTTTTCACAAGGCCAGCTGTAGCCCAGATGGTTCACGTTTAGGCTAGATTTAAATGAAGACTCAGCACTAAACTCGTCCTTTTCCTGCAGTGTGATACAAACAGCATTTCGAGGAAAACGGGTTAGTTTTGTTCTGGAACAAATGATTTCTTGGAGGTAGTTGTTTTTTTTTTAAATCAGCTCAGCATATTGTCTTTGTCTGGCTTCAGGCATTGCCTTGAGTCAGTAGCTTTAAGGAGGAGAGAAATTCCTCCTTAACAGCTAGAATAATGCTAACAAGGAACCAATAATTATGTACCTTTCCAACAGCCTAAATCAAGACGGAAAATCATTAGTGAGGATTTCATTGACAATGAAGGTTTGGTTTTGTCAAGCAACAAAATATAGAATACTTTAAGCATTAGTATTGTACACGTTTTCAGATATTCTGTTCAAAAAATGAAATCATAAAGATATCTGCCTGAATACAAATTACGTGTCTAATTACGTATATAAAACCTGTGCATGCTTGTGCATGCCAAGCTCTGAAAAAAATCTGTTCCCTGTTGACATGAATTATAAGAAAAAAATGCATGTGGAAAAAAAAAAGTGTGGTCTGTTAAGTCATGTGAATACTGCTAATCTGGAGTGTCACACAGGCAAGGGTGCTAACTATTTTAATTCAGGTAGTGTCATTAGCTGAATTCAAAGAAAAGTCTTTTCTTCTAAGGCCAAAATGCTGTCAGTGTAAGAAGCAGTCCCAATCGGATAAATTGTCTGCTCACTTGCAGGGGAACTGCTTTCTTAACTGGCTCACAGAACTAACCGGTTCTGGGTCTGTAGGCAATCTATGGCCAGTTTTCACACAAGTAATTCTCTACCTAGAGAATTTTAGATAATTGCTTTGAACAGCAAGCGAAAGAAACAAACCTCTAACTTCAGCAAAAACATTTCTTTCCAATGGCTTCAATTGACTGTTCTTCAGTACTATCTACATGTTAATGATTAAAAATTCATAAAAGCTGTACAAGGTTATCCATAGCAACCACTGATAAAGGATTAAACAAAAGGCGACATACCTTGTTGGAGAAAACGTAGCAAAATGACCAAAATGAGAAGTGCGTGAGTCATCTTAGTTGCCCTTGTCTGGCAGTGGTCCCCGTAGTCTGGGCAAGCTGGGTTCCCAGGCTGCCTCTGGTTTGAGCAGCCCTCTCCTGGGCAGTGAATGAGAGCGAGGGAGCTGCTCAGCTTTATTCTTCTTCCTATATGAGGAAGTGTTTACTAAAGGTGTTGCACAATTTTCAAGTCACAGTGTGTTACAGCAAGCGGAAGTTCCTGCTGGTTAGTTAATGTCACACGAATTGTGATATATTGATTACTCCTTTGGAATGAGGTCCCAAAAACTGTTCATCAGGAAAAAGAAAAGAAAGGAGGAGGGAGATCGGAGTGGTCCTGCTTTTGTCTTTCTCTAGTGTGGCTGGTCAAATAGAAACCATAGAACCAGTGGGCACCACTGGCGGCTCAAGGAATGGAGAAGTATTGAAGAGGTTTAGGGTAACACAGGTACGCAGAGCTGGGGTTCAGCGTGTGTTTCAGTTCTTGCTGATTACCGTGTGGTCTGTACGGGAGGGAAGGGTGTAGAGCACCAGTAAAGGCACATGGAATTCTGCATCTGTCAATCATATCTGCGGTATAAACACGGAGTAGATCCTTCTCTGCCCCTTCCAGCTGTATTAGTAATGTTTGCTTTTGAAGTTCATGTCATACTGTCTGGATAAAAGGGGATGCAGACAAGTGAGCAATCATGGTGATATCAGTCAAATAATATTCTAAAAATCTGTCTTATCACATTGACTTAGCCAGTTGTAATAAAGTAGTGCTATGTGCTTCTCAGGGTCACAGCTATCAATACCGAGCTGCTTTACAGAAGTTTAACTTTTCATAGGTTAGAATAGTTACTACAGAGTACACAGAACTAGAATGGATCGTGCTGTATACTGCAGTTTATGAATAAAAATTTATATTAGCAATACACATTACACAGTAATATATATTATTTTATTACATTCTTTTATAAATAAAGATATGTAAATCTTCAGGAGAATTTTTACTGCCATAAATAACAAAATTGCACACTTCCAATGTAACTGTTATTGGATAACTATTTCTGTCTCAGGTATATGTTGAAAAGTGGTCTGATTTTTTTAATGTTGAAATCTGAAATTGTAAATACAAACTTTCCTCTTAGGTTTTACTAAATCTCCAGATATTCTGGGACAGATTGGGAGCTACCAACAAGTGAGCTCTGAGCTTTCTTTAAGGATATAACGGTAGTAATTACTAACAATTTATCTGCAATGCTGATTGCAATAATCAACTTCAGGGTAGAACTTGTTATTTAATAGTAAAACCTGACTGTAAGATAAGAGCCTGATTATTCCTGTGTCTTCGTTTTGTTTAGCCATTTACAGTGAGGCAAAGTGATTTTAAAAAGGATGCAGAACGTTGCTGAACAGGAGCAGGACAGCTTCCTGTCCCTTAGCATCGCTTTGCAGTGGCGTAGGTGACGGGGGCTGAGGGCAGAATACCCTCCCATCACCCCAGGTGCCAGTACTGTGCCCCAGTGATGTTGCTTTGGCTTCTGTTGCTCTGAGGGATGCTGGGCTGGATGCACCTACAAGCCCATTGTACAGCTTTTCTTGCCGTTTAGCTCTTGGGTCTTCCTTCAGCAGATGTGTTTTACGGATCATTTATTCTGGTCTGCTGCAGGGTATGCTCTGCTTTGGCAGTAGCACGACATTTCTACTGGGGACACGGCAGCGTAAAATACTCCTTCACAAGAGTAAGCATAGACCCCACATATTGTCTGGCCTCCCAGCCTGCTCTGAGATGTGCTAGTGCAAACACCTCGTTCTTCATGAGTGAAGTTGGGTTTGAACAGTCTCTGCAAGCGTTTGAGAGCCCGTGGAGCAGGAAGAGGGCCTGAGAGAGGCAAAGGGCATCTGTCAGCCAGAGTCCTGATAACTGCCATCAAACCTCTTCTCCGCTGTGTGACTGAAACCCAGGAGTTCTGGTGAGCCTGCAGCAACGTTATGATAACTCAGGTCAATGTTAATCTCCCATCTGCTATTATAATCACACTAATTTTAGCTAGCACTGTGCTCTGACAAAAGACATCTTTCTAGATGGACCTTCTACCTCCTCCCAGCGCCGTGGGAGCTGAGCCTTCCCAGGACAGAGCTGCAGCCTGGCACTCCCAGGACAGGAATGCTTTTTGCTAGGGACTTCTGGGGGACACTGTAGCTTGGCGACAGAGCAAGCCTCCTTGCTGTAAGTGAAGTCACACAGCACAGCGAACCGTGTCGCCAGCCTGGATTATGACAGAGCCCTTCATCAAAGAATTCATGAAGCGCCGTTGGAAAGGGTTTGAGCAGACCCTGCCGAGGTGTCCGATTCAGTCACAGCGAACATCGGAGAGGAGTTGTGTGGTTTGATTTACGTCGGTGCCTTTTTAGTTCTGTAAAGACAAAGCTTAGTCTAAAAGGTAGGCAATTTAGTATTTGAGATGTTAGATGAATAGAAATAAGCCGAGCATTCTTGGACTGCATCTTTGCCTTACAAAAATAATTAACAAAAATAACTGTGAACAACTGGTTTTAAAAATGAGTGGCTGCTATCCAAGCATTTATCTCAGCTCATTCTCTGTGTGACGCACTTGAAAACCATGAACTGACCCCGCCAATCTCCTAAGCTAATGTTCTTAATAAGCTGCACTTCCAAATAGTATATGAAGGAGAGTTACTGTATGAATAGACACAACATCCCGACAAAGACCTGGCATGAAGAAGGGAATGTGATGTGGTGAAGGTCTTGGGTAGACTTGAAAGGGAATTGGGCATAATTTCCTTCTGTGATTTGAGAAGCATTTGATGTTTCTGCCCTTGCTTCAGCGATTCTGTAATAGTCTGACTGGAGCTTCTTCCCCCGGAGGTAGTCAGAGAGGTATCTGCGAGGTCTCAGCTGACAGGAAAGCTGCTTCTGAATTTTTGAAACCCCTTAACGATTGTGCAATGTCTAAGTGAGCAGTTTTCATATTTGCGGGGGAGTAAAACTGGATGACAAGTTTGTCTCAACATTTAGTAGCTAGATTATTGGTATTCTTAAATGCTATCTGCTTAATTAGAAGAAGGAAGCAGAGAAGGGTGAACTTCACCCCTAGACCAAGGGTCTGCACAAATCCTGTCCGTGTGAGGTTAAACTGAGTATTAAAAGCAAAATGACAGTTGTATCCTGAGGCACTAGGCTGAGCCTAGGGAAAAACTGGATTCAAATCACTTCTCTGCTTCTGCCTTGTGCTAAAGTTCACTTTGAACCAGGTTTGCAAAGGTACGAATGCACCGAATGGGAATGGTCAGGAGTGTGTAAACAGCATAGGTGTCTGTTTCCCCTGCACTTCAGTAGAGAGATAGATAGATAGATAGGTAGATAGATACTCAGCCACAACAGTAAGGAAGTCTATATAGCTACTACAGACAGATAAGTAGCTGGGTTACCATGGGTCTGTTGGTTCAGCTCAAACTCTGACCTGCCTGCCTCCATTTTCTTTTCCCCAAGCTTCAGCCCAAGCCGGCTTGAAGATTATTTTTCTCAGACATGCAAAAGCCACACGGTTCTGTTTGTATCTGCATTCCAGCTCTAAGCTCCTGTTTGCTTCCTCCGTCTATTCGTAGCTGCATTCCAGCCTCCCCACAACCTGCCTCTCCGTGCCAGCCCCAGGCCCTTCCCCTCCATTTCCAAAGCCGATCCAAACCCCGTTGAAGTCAACAGAAGATCTTCTATTGCCTTCCAGGGCCCTTGGATCAGCTCTGCAGTTCCTCTTGAAAACTTACTCTTTACATAAAGCTTTTTTTTGTGCTTGTCTCTGTTGCCTCACATGTTCCTCAAGTGAATTATCCTTCTTTTTCTTCAGCTACCAGTCTTCAGTGTTTTGTCCTTCTTGTTTTCTGTGTTTCTGTTGAAGGATGTAATCAGATGGCTGCGTTAGCCCCATTCAGAGTGTTTGGATAAGTTACGTTCCTTCCAGCCATCAGTTACCTGCTCCTCAGCTTACGTGCAGCGCTTGACTACGCTTGTATTGCCAGGGTTTAATATAAAGTAGAAAGCTTTCACCTAAACTGTGATTCAAACTAACTTTGTGAGCACCAGCCGAGTGAAGTTTTGGTGCGGCTCTAATCAGACCACAGACTGTCATCTGATCCTGACTAATGAAACCTCATTACAAACTTTTTACATCTTTTTGCCTTGGAGAGTATTGTAGACATATATGGTATGTTACAAGTAAGTTGCTTCCTTTTTTTCTTCCCTTTTCTTCAAATTGTAGGATGAAAAATGGTTACTTCATCTTCCTTCTATATCTCTCTTCCTCAGCTGCGTTTTGCTTAATTCTCCTGCACCAGCGTAATGCAGTACACACCGTAGCAACCTAACACAGACTGTAGATAGGTAATTGAAGGTACGGGCCCTTTCGATATATTTCTCAAGACCTGCTAACTTCTCATAACCACTTAATGTGATTAAGGCGATTTTTTTGAAGGTTAATGCTTCTTAGATAACACGTGCAGCCCCGTTTCTGGCTGTGCCGCGTGTTGTGCAATTGTGTGCACACGTACGAGCTGTTTAATGTTCTCCAGCTGTACAGCAGGAGCGACAATGCAGATCACTGAATTAAGCACTCAGTGTGGTCTTAGTTCCTTTTTTTTAAGGTGTTGCTTATTGTACTCTTTATACTTGTAGTACGTGATGTCTGGCTCAGTTTTGCCGAGGGACGGGGAGTCCTGCATGCTACGACGTGGTGTCTAGCACGGTTCTCTGCTGGCTGGCATCCATCCGGGGCTCTGCTTGCTACACACAAGGGCAAAGAGTGGCACAATTCTTTGAGCTGGGTTTTAGGAGGGAGGAGGCACTGCCCAAGGCTGTGGGAAGACCTAGAGGCTGTGTTAGAGCCGTGCGAGGCAGCGTGTGTGCATGGCAAAGAATGGATCCACACCTTAGACCTCCACGAGCTGAGCCTCATCGCTACCCATCCATCCTCTTCCTCCTTCACTCCCGCATTGCCCATGGGAGACCTTGCA